TTAGAAAAAATACATTTTAAGAAACTTTGGTAAATTTTTAAAACTGAAGTCTTTTTTCTTTGAGTTAAAAATGTTGGTGTCTTTGTAGTGGAAAACCACTGTACGCTCTGAGATACTGCAGTGTCAGGGAAATTGCAGCTAAATTAGCTGAGCTAATATTCCTTTAACTGCATCAATCTGATATATAAATTGATTTTTCCATCCAAACATTAAATTGTACTATTAAAATGTCTTTTTCTAAGTGAAGAGAATCTTTCGAACTGTCTGTTTTTATTAATAGGTTCTGCATCACACAAATCCACAATTAAATCAAATTTCAAAAATATGTCTAAATATGTCTCCCCATGTCCCCATTAGTTCATTCAAATTTTACAAAAAAATATTGAACCTTTTTCAAGGTGTCTTTGTATGATATATAGGTCCCCGAATGATGATTTGGTTAGATTAGTTAAAATCTCTAGTAATGATTTTGATGATTAAACTTTTATTTAGGTCCCCCGATGTTAATTTTTTTGGAGTTATTTTTTCTTGAGAATTTTTTGCAATGAGAAATTATTTTTGAGAACATAAGACTTCGAACCTGACATTTTTACCCTTATCTACATCTTTTCAAACAGTATTTGAGAAATTATCATTTACATTTTTGAAAGCGTCAATTTTATTTTAGTATTAGCAAATGAATTGTATAAGATATCATTTGTATTTTCTAACAGTGAATTAGATTTGCGAATCATTCAAATGTATTTTAGCCTAATCAAATGGATTGTGGAAAGCATCAGATGTATTTTATCCTTATCATATGGATTTTGGATAACGTCAAATTTATTCTCGAACTATCAAATCAATTTTTAAACCATCAAATGAATTTTTGAAAGCATTATTTGTATTTTCGATGGCATTATGTTATTTCTGTCAAAATACATCATTTGACAGCTGTGTAAAACTTATGACCTCGCTGTATCTCAACCCCTAAGTTGCGTGATAGATTAAGTAAATACAGGGTGTCCCGAAATTACATAGACATTATCTTTTTAACCACTTTATCGGCGACCGAAAGTAATCTAAAAAGTTGACGCATAAATACAAATGCTCACCGTTTTTGCGATACAGGGTGATTTCCTGATGATATTTTTTGCAAATAATTTGAATATCTTTACAGATAAATATTTACGATTTGATACAAATCTCCAAATTTTTATTCACGTTCACGTTCAGAGGCGGGTAAAACAAGGGAAGCCTTGTGTCTATAATTCTGCGTTACTTTTATGTTTTTGGAATTCTTGACTTTGGAGCTGCAGAATATGAAAAAACAAGAATTTTTAATTAAATTAATTTTAACTTAGTCAATTTATTATCTGCATAGGATTACCTTTCTCTACATAGAAAAGATCATTATGTAGAAAATTTTGATATTTTATATTTTTTTGAATGTCTTAGTTTTTTTGCTCACGACCGTACCTGGTAGGTATCAGTAACAACCAAAAAATGAAAAAGAAGAAAAATAAATTCAAGTAAATATTAAATTATAACATACCTATATTTTTTGAATACATGGAGAAATTACTATGTTCTTAGATATACAATTACAACATTAAAAATCAACAAGCGTATAAAAAAATAAGCCATAACAGTTTAACACAATGTGTGAACAAAACATCTAAACACCTACTGGTATGTCCTGTAAAGCAAGCTGCATGAAACACAGTAGTGTATTGAGCTGCACATGCGCAGTCACCCCCAACAATGGAATTCTTCGCCTCGTCTATTTTTTCCTCGAGGTAGACTAATCGTTGTTCTATAACACCCGGTGCGGCGACTTCAGGGATACCAAGATGGACTTTGAAATACGTTGATTGCCATTATTTCGCCAATTTTCTAAAAGATCTCTCACCCAAACATTTGCAGCTTCTGCAGTATAAGAGCCGCGACGACGATCCATAGCTATTATACCTCTAGCAGATATAGCTCCAATTATATGAACGTGTGGTCCTCTTGAAGCGGGAAGAATTTGAACTGCTCGCGCTCCAACACGGGACCGACCTCTCGTTCGCCGACAAAACAAATTGAAGTTTGTTTCATCAATCCAAACTATTTGTATTCCGTCTTGAATGAATCCATTTATAGCACGGACGTAATCAGCACGACCTTGTTTTCGTGCAAATTCATTGTTATTGGCTGCCGATGTACCTGCTTTACCGTAAAGAGTCGCCCTTCCAAATAATTTCCTAGAGTGGAAATACATACGGAAATATTGAAGTTGTTTTGCACTTTTTGCTGTAACTGTTTTAAGGTACAGCTACAATCGTCCTCCAGCCATCCTATAATTATGTCAATCTGATGCTCACTTAAAATTTTTGGTTTATTGTTATATATTATGTTTTCATTTCCCAAGATATCAGTCCGGCAAATCGGGCATTTTGATTCAGGAACATTTAAAATTAGCTGCACGCACCTTTCATGAAATTTATGATTGCATGGGAGAAGTCGCAAAACAAGTTTCCGTAACATGGATACTCGACAAATTCCGCAAATTCATTTTTTTGAAGTACTTATTTGGAAAACTTATTGTAGAAATATTTATTTTTCTTACTACCTCGACTGAAAATACGTTGTTTCGTCCCCGATTTCACGGCAGAAAGTTTACGTTTCTTGCATTGGTCAAGCTATACGCGCACACTCTATAATAGCAGGAGTAAACATTTTTTAGTCGTGTGCTGAATATATGCAACTTTGATTACGACATTAATATAACCTCAAAATTTGGGCAGGCATCAATATGTTTCGATATACACATTTAATTTTTTCCCGTATTTTCGGCCGGGTTGTATTTTCGGCCGAGGTAGTAAGAAAAATAGTATACACTACACGGGCAGAAAGTGTGAGAACCCTGAACTGCGCGCCATGATGCAGGAATCTCACACTTTCTGCCCTTGTAGTGTAATATACTATATTTTACTTATTATTTAAACAATAATGCTAAACCAATCTGTCATTTCTGACTTTTAACCCCAGTTTCAGGTTTAGCCACCAGGAGCGCGTTCAGATTGATTGCCGGAATTAATGTAAACGTGCTCCAGACTATAGCTATCTAAAATTCATATCACCTTTTCGAAACTACATATGATTAAGCTAAAATACATATGATTATTTCTAAAATTAAATTTACTAACCGAAATTACTTTTGACGGAGCCTCATGATTATGATTATTTGACTATTCTCATTTACAATTGACGATATCGATAATTAAATTAATAGCTCTAAACTACTATGATATTTTTTAAAATACTTTTTTATTTCTAAAGTTCAATTGATGTATACCCAATACTAATAACATTTCGAAACTACATTTTACGCTTTCGAATATACTGTTAGAAAAGGTGTAGTTATAGCCAAAGTTTTATGATACCTACACCCAGACCCGTAACTAAGCTAGACGGTGCAGTGCACTTTGGTTGTAACCCTGATAGCACACTTTATTCTAAGAATGTTTTTTAAACCTTCCAGTAAGAATATTCTTAGGATCATGCTATATTTCTTTATGCTTAAAAGAAATATAGCATGATCCTAAGAATATTCTTACTGGCCTGTAGGCAGGTTCTTAGAATATGCTAAAATGTTAGTACTAGCTATAGAAAGTTTATTTAGGAATATTTCTGCATATTCAGTTCAGTTATCTATATAATAGTAAAATATACCATAAACTACGTACAAAAGAACAGAACAAATTTTTCTTCTCTAGGGTTTAAGAATCTAATTGAATCATTAAAATGGTATCTATTAAATGTTTTAAAAGTCCCTAAGAACATTCTTAGCAATAAGGGAAGCTTCTAAGAATATTTCATTATTACGGATCTGACCCGGCGGGTCATATCTTCTTAGAAGATTCTTAAAATCAAATTTTGCTATCAGGGCAGGACCAAAAAGCTTCATCAAAAAGTGTATATACTGCTTCAAGAAAAAAACACTCATGCCCCTAGCTTCTATAACATCTATGACAAAAAAACCGAATATTATTAATTCGAAACAAAACAGGAATTTTTTTATATTTTCGTGTTGAGGGCCGCCGGCTGCAATAGGCCTTCTTCAGGGATTAGAAAAATGGATTAAACAATCTATATTATAACATTAAATAACCACAGGGTTTCAAAATTTAATATAAGTACAAATTTTTATTAAGTGGCGGTTTTTATATTAGGTAATGCAGGTATTCAAAAAAAACACGTGTTGTATAAACATTATACCTGAGGGCATTAATTAAACTTATACAATTTTGGAAATACTATGGATTTGGAAAGTCCTATCAAATATAATTTTACAATATTAATTTTTTTTATTTTTAATACTACAGGTATACTATTTATACTATACATTCTAAAATAACTTTAGTAAAGAAGAGTTGTAGGTTTCAATTTGGTCATTAAGAATAATATCCGATTTTTTCTTTAGTTTATTAATTTTCAAAGATTTAGTTTGGTACCTTTATTGTTTACCTCTAAGTTATCGTGAAATTTGTGGTTCTCTCGTATTAAATGGTTAGCATATGAAGAGTCCTGTTTAAGGTTTATATAAGATTCCTTGTGTTCTTTCATTCGTGTATTAAACTTTCGTCCAGTTTGGCCTATATATGTTTTCGGACAGTCTCTGCAAAGTTAGTTTGTAAACGCCGGATTTTGAGGATTTTGTTGTTCTGTTTTTGTTGTTTTTGATAAACTTACTAAGGTTGTTGTTAGTTTTAAATGCAACATTACTTTGATTCTATTAAAGAAATTATATACATGTCTCATATTAGTACCTTCATATGTACAACTGTTATATTAAATTATAGGGTTCCTGAATATTGGAAAATTATTATTAATAGCAATTTTTTGTTTTTCTGTGATTTAAGATTTTGGTAATTAATTGTGCATCATAGCCGTTGTTAACTGGTATTTGTTTAATTAAATTTAATACGTAATTATCACCCCCTTAAGCTTTAAGGTTTTAAAATAAAAGTCATGGTTTACGAATTTATGATATTTTTAATGAAAATAATGTACATGTTTTTATTGCCAGACCGCCATATTTTGTAAATTCTCGAATAGGGCCCTTTTTAATAAAAATTATCCACTTACATTTTTTGATCAATCTAAAACACAACCTACACACATATTTTTACTAATCTAATTTGCTGTAATACAAGTTAAGTATATTGTTTTCCATTATTTAAAACTAATTTTAAACATTGATATGACATTTTCTTTAAATCAGTAACATGTCGACTATTTATTACGATATGTGCAAAACGAAATGCTACTGTTTTATCTATACGGTTTTACCCACATTTACGATAAATTATTTAGTTATTCCATCAAAATTTACAAAAATGGTAATTTATGAAGAAACAATTTTTATTAAATAAGGGACATTATTTATCTGTTCATAAATTTTTAATCACCTGAGACAAAATAAAAAATGACCTTTATTTTAATCATTAATTGTAAATATATGTGTGCAAAACGGAATTGTTATGACCCTATTCATTTGCTAAATATATTAATTTATAAATAAAAACTAACGGACTTGACAGGACATACAAAATTCATATACCTACAAATAGGTCTACTTTTAGATCAAATATAAGTAATAATAAAAATGATTTGTTATAATTGTTATTCAATTATAATTATTGTTGTGTTTTATTGTAAATAAATAAAACATTTTTTAAGTAAAGCAAGATGCTAAAATGCTTTAGCAACGAAATCTAAAAGATGACCGTGTGTAAATAAAATAATTTTTAGCAGTAGGAACTTTGATCTAAATTGGTCTGTAGAGACCATTTTTAGTTTTCGAATTGTATGTACATATATTGTGTATACATACATGGATTATTAAAAGATATAGGTACTATATTCTAGACGAATTTATTATTCTAATACTCTTAACTTAAAATCTACGTACGACGTTTTTCTAATTTACAGCAATATGTTACATGTATTGACAAAAGACAATCATTTAAATATAATAATTTTAGACCCTGCATAAAAAATAACTGTCAAGTGTCAAATTAAATACAAAAAAATCAATTTTGTGCCTAATAAAACACCACTACAAAATTGAATTTTTCAAGTAACTAGTTAAAAGGACATTATTTACATGATATATATATTTATAAAAAAATAATATTTAAAATTACACTTTATACAAAAAAAATATATAAAACAAAAGATAACCTAAATTAAGTGTATTTGGCATAAATAAAAAACAGTCATAAGAAGTAAAAGGAGTGTAAATATTAGGAACTTTTAAAAGTGGAAGACTGTAAATATACATTGCTCATTCAATATTTAATACAGCTTCTTTCATTAAAAGTAGGACAAAAATGACAAGTTTAACTTTTACACTGGTTAATCCTAAAACACATATGTGTTAAAATACCTAATCACAAATAAAATAACTGTAAAATACGATAATAAATAAGTATTTTAAGACGTCTACTCGAGCTATGATTTAAATGTATGTACAATATTTATGGTACAGCCTGTTTTAGATTTTATACAAACCCCAAAATCGTGAAATTTTGGCGGACCTTTTTATATCCATCTATGTTAACTAGTTTAGTGCTTGGTAAACTACTTAACATACAAGCATAATTTTAAATATATTGTCATAAAATAATTACTTTAGCTTCTTTCTCAAAACAACAATTCGAGAATATTTTTATATCTTTCTCCTAACAAAATTGTCAAAAAATAACAATCAAACACAAACAAATTATTATTATTTATAAGGTAAATTATTGATTATATGCACAAAATATAATGTTTGTAATGCTGTAACTACATGAGTAGTTAATTAAAAATTTGTACTTTCAATTTTTTAACACAAATATTTTTTACTAATATCTGTAAAAAATATTCTATAGAATATCAAATACGGCAGATTAAAAGGACTTAGGGTAATTAAATATTGTTATTTAAAGTAAAATAAAATACTTTTCAATAATTACGAGTTTCTTTTTATGCTTGGTATTTTTAAACTGCGATTAATCTGTAGGTAGACTTTATTAAATTTATTCAATTATTTTAAAATAAGAAAGAACAACCGGTATTGGTCATTGGAGAAAACATTTCTGCAACCCTTATTTATTACTCACTAATAATAAAATTTTGCTACGATTGTAGAAGAGAAAGTAATAACAAGACAATTATATTTTTAAGTGTTTTTTACTAGATTTACAGTAAGTATTACCTATATCGAGCTATAAGAGAAGCGATCAGCGGATAAATAAATAAACATATAAGTAATTGAGATTTATGTTTCCATTATACTTACTGCAACTAGTATTTACAAAAATCATAGCCTTTACCCTAAATTCTTAAATTGCACATAACTATTCTAAATAATGATCAGCGTAAAAGTTAAGGTTATGTCATTCCGTTTTAACCATAACATTTGGGTTGAAATTATGCCCTGAAGATGTCACCAGACTTAAAGGGCTTGTTGCTAAAGAGTTAGCTATAGCAAACATTGCTCCATTACTATTAGCAACCGAGCAGGGGGATCCCATTGCTGAGGAAGGTGGATTGATTCTTTTTTCCTTTTGCCTTCTATTGCAAAACCAAACTCTCACTACTTCTTTCTCCATGCACAAGCTATCTGCAAGCATGGATATTTCTTCGGAAGTAGGTTTGGGATTTTGCAAAAATGCCTTTTCTAAGGCTACTCTTACAGTGGTTTCAATAGAAGTTCTTTTCTTTCTCCGCCTTCCAATTGTTTCTGGAGTTGTCATGGGGTTGCTTAATGCACCCGGATTAGTCAATGTGCTATCAGCATCTTCTAGCCATTTTTGAAGCAAAGGTTTAAGCTTACACATATTCTTAAAACTTAAATTTAGTGCTTCAAATCTTGATATGGTAGTTTGGGAAAAATCGTTGCCATATAATTTTCCCATTGCCAATCCAACATCGCCTTGAGTGAATCCTATAACAATTAATTAATTATAAATATATTTTATCCATTGATTTTTTAGTTTGATTATAGTCTTTGTAAGGAATTTACAAATTTAATCATTTAAAAAAAAAGTTATGTTTAAAAATTAATTAATGTTATTCCTATTTATTTCTATTAAAATATAATAAATAACAAAATAAATAATAATAAATAATATATATAATATCTAAATATAATATATAAATATAATATAATTTATTCTCATTGAATATAAAAATATTTTTTTAGAAAATGTATGCAATAATAATAAAGATATTGTATGTACTATGCTCTACACCCAAAAAAACCCACTTTAAAATTTTAATGCTGATCGCAGTCAACGAGATAAATTACACTAATTTAGTAATAAATTTAAAAAAAACTACATTAAGTACCGCTTTTTTTTCTTAATTTGTCTAGCTGAACACAATAATTGCAATATTTTTTTGGTAGGTTTTGGTAATATTTTTTATTTTATTTTCATTCGGTTTTCAGGCAGCTTTAAAATTTTGGTTGATATATCGTGTTATAAACGGCCAATCTGGTTGTAAAAGGTTTAAAATAAAACATTATCCACTGGCCGACAAATAGCACTGTCATAATGTCCAATATGGTGGGGTCCATTTCTTTTTTTTTAACTTTAAAATGCTTGTAATTTAAAAAGTTGCGATTGGGTCTCAAAAACCATTCCTGCCCACCCATCCATACAACCATATGAGCATGTTTTAATAGAAAAAAAAATTAATTTTTACTTCTAAATCTGATTTTGTATTTGACTTAAGCATAGTGTTTCTGGATCTCTGTTACTAAAACCACTAAGACGCTTCTGTCACTAATTTGACACCTCGTTTAGTTCACTAAATATTTTAAATATTAAATTAGTTTTCAAAGATGAAGGGCTTTAGATGTGCCTACATAAAGGTAGTTTTATTAAGAAACCACTCTAAAGATATACGTACTCTGCCAGAATGAACGATGGTTTTTCCATTGCAATATAAGCCTGCAAAATACGGTTTGCCTTAGTAAGCCATCTTGCTTATTTGCTAAATTAGCTGGACAGTTTTCAGTAGATATGGCATTACATATCTGTTATAAAAAATTTTATCTACTCCCACATCGACAAGCTGTGACTTTATGGCATTGTAGTTACGGGCTGAAGTTAGCAAGAGTGGCTTTTGGGCATTTTAGTCACGGACTGAAGTTAGCTTTATTATAAATTGCGAAAAAGTTAGGTTAAATTCGTCAGCTGTCAAATATTTATGAATTAAAATTGGCAAAAAATTCCTATTTCTATTCGTTGTAGATAAAGTATATATATATATAGTATGCAACTCGTTTTATAAACTTCTCTAGACGCTCGTTTTTATTAAACACTCGCTCGCAAGCTTCGCTTATAGCGTTTATAAAACTTAATACATAAAATACTATTAATCCGTATTAAGATTTTTTAAAATTAACCTAAGGTAGTTTAACTTCGATTATTTCTTAGCACATAACTGGTAACTGCTTACAAGATTTAATAAGTTTGCCAATAGAACCCGAAAATGATTGAGGTCCTGTGGTATTTTATCAAGTCGCATGTAACGGACGTATTAGCCATTTTAACGGTCGTTTAAAAAGAAATTTTAACACATGTATTACACCACCGTGAGATCCAGTGTTTACGACTGTACCATCATAGCCAACAGTAAAAGCTCGGTAGTTGACAATCCAGCTTCTGTAATAAAGTTTAAAATGGTTGAAGCATTTTCAGGTGTTTCATGTCATTATATATTCGCTACCTGGTTCCTTCAATAATATTATATGTTATGTATATAATAGTTTTTATAGATGATCTCCATGTTTGTTGATATTTTAATGGTCGTAAAGATAAAACTTTTTACATCGAAAAACATGGAGATGCATCATCTAGAAAAACTTATAATACTTGTCATTTTTGGTTAATAATCCAATCTTCAAGAACTGCGCTAGCGACCATTGCTACTAGATAATCCAGCTCGGTCTATCGATTTTGGTAATGCTTTTTCGGGAAAGATTTATTTTAAGAATACTAAACACTGATAAAGCACAACCGCACAAGACGAGTGTATACTTGGTTCAGAAAAATGTTGGTCATGCCGCCCCCTAAAAGGCTTTTAAATAACTTAAAACAAATTATGCGCACTCGAAATTTTTTCTTTACGTTAAGAACCGCACAGAGCTTTTTCCTTATAAGTACATTCAATCGGTCTAAAAATCAGGGGGTACTATCGAAAAACTTCGAACTGTCTGTATTTTTGGATATGTTATTTTTGGCGCTCTAATGGGTAAAATGTAAAATTTCCATGTCCAGCTTTCGGCGCTTTTCCTCTTTTTTAAAAAAGTATTATATCGTTTTATTTCCATTGCTATAGGTCGGACTAAAAAAAAAATGTAGAACTTAAAATTTTTAACATAATATTATTTGTTATAAGACAGTTCCTAGTTCACAGTTTTATATTTTGATCCAATAAAATTGCTTAAAACTTAAAATTCTAAAAGTTTTAGATCTTAAAAATATATTTTGGTAGATATATATCTATGAAAACATAAATACTGCAGCACAAAAAATTATATTGGAATATTTTTTTAAAGATATTTTTGAGATCTACAACTTTTATATTTATAATTTTTATTTTTAAGCAATTTAGGGGGGTCAAGACATAAGAAAAAAATTGGTAATTTTGGCGCCCCTGATCTGTTTGGGAAGTAAATACAGAAAGTTCTGCGTTTAAACAAATATGTTAAAAATTTAAAGCTCTAAATTTTTTGTACAAATACTTTTTTTGTCCGACCAATAGGAAACTAAATAAAACGTTTTAAGACTTTTTAGAAAAAGGGGGGAAAGCGCAGGAGGGGAAACAAAGCAATTTAACATTTTACCCTTCAGACCGCCAGGAATAACATATCCAAAATCCACCCACTTTTGAATAATTTTGCTGAACCCCCTGATTTTTTGACAGAATGACTAATTAAAGCAGAAAACCTATGTTCAGCACAGCTCAACGTTAAGATAAACAAAATTTTGAAGTTATTTGGAAGCTTTTTAGGGGCGGCACGATTAAATTTTTGTTTAACCCAAATTTACTGTCACCCATAGGGAAAATAAATTGTTAAGTAGACCAGATAAGACCCGGTACACCCTAAGCGAAGAACTTTAAAAAATACAGTTGGACAAGTTTAATACAAAACAGCAATAAAGTCCCAGATACATGCCGTCGGTTGCCGACAGTAAGCATAGTGGAAATTGTGTTACAACGCATCATACTTGTTCAACTATATTCTTCGCTTAGTGTTACCGCGTATTATATGGACCACCATACAGATGAAGATATGATGTGTAACAAATACACAGTCGACTGGCTACGACGCCAATAAAACGCGTTTAATTTAAATTTAAATAAAAAGAAATTAAAAAAAACTATTTAGCTTTAAAGCTAAAAAAATAACAACATTACACACCTTTTTTCCTACAGGCAGGCGCGTGCTGGGATGATTTTAGGGGCCAGGAAATAATTCCCTTACAGGGCCCTCCCATGCCTTAAATTTTATGTCATTTAGAGAAAGGTTTGGGGAACTGGTGGGGGTGTTGTGTTTGAGATTCAAATTTTACATCGCGTGCTGGGGCCGACACTACTCACTAAAAATCAGGGACTTGTAACGCATTCCTGTTACGGTATCCGATACCGGGTATCGTTCTTCATGTAAGGATCTAAACTAAATTGAATCGAAACATGCACCCCCGAAAATGATAACTAAACTTTGAGAAATTATAATTAATAGTACCAAAACGAGTGACTAAATCTTGATAATGGTTAACAAAACTGTTATCGAAACTGTTTATATCAAAAATTGCAGATGCGCAACAACTACCGAAATACGGGAGATTGAAACAAAACTGGTAACACTACGCTGAATTTTAAAAACTTTTACAAAATGCACATCAACACAAAGTCTTGGTTAAAATTTGTGATCTGTCTACTAGCTGTCAAGCTGTCATGCTGTCAAGTATTGACATTGTCAAGAAAATTCATATTGGGTTAAAATTTTAATAAACAAAATTGTACAATAGGTATGTATTGTATTAATAGTATATCGTGCGACTTCTGGGAAAAAAGGAGATTACTCCTGACATATAAAACTCATTTTTAACCTCACTATTTTCCAATTTTAACCTAAAGATAACTTCCTGCTATTCCGCCCACTAGTGGGTAAGTCACGCGGGTAAAACTCTCGAGTAAAACGCGCAGGTAGGTTACGCGGGTAAGTCGCGCGAGTAAGTCGCGCAGGTAAATCAGGTTAGAAAGCCGCGGGAATTTCGCGCGGGTAACTCACGCAATTAGGTATACCTACCTGATGACCATGTGGCGCAGGAAAGAATATATATTTCTTGCGGTAACTGAATAAAACATTGTTTGCGATTTTTGGCGTGTTACTAACTTCACTATCGTGGAATCTCCTCTTTCTCCCACGAGTCGTACAATATTTCCAAAATTATAAAGGTATTTTATAAGTACCCTGCTTCATTTATTTATCAACAGAAAACGTTACTAGGTACTTAATAGTTTTCTTCGATACATGAGGAATGTAACTAGTTTAGTTTCTGTACCATTTCGTTACTAGGTAGGTACTTAATAGTTTTATTCGATATACGAGAAACGTAACTAGTTTAGTTTCTTTACCAAGAGGCTTTGTTACAATTTCGTTACTCAGGTGGCGTTGCTGGTTTTGTTTCCATACCCGGTGTTTCGGTTCTGCTTAGAGTTTTTTCTAGAGCAAAACTATAAACTATAGTTTTAAGTGTCATTACTTTTCTGTTACTTGTTGGGAATGATTTCCAACGTCCCGTTTCTGATTTATGTTACTCGGAACGATAACGCCAGATACTGAGTTTAATTTTTATTAGAGTTGCCACGAATAGTTATTTAGCCGAATACCGAATACCGAATATTCGGCGAGACTATTGGCCGAAG